CTCTTTTTTTTTTTTTTTTTTTTTTTTTCTGAAAGCAATTCTTGCCCTTTGCCGGCTAATCCTGATAGCTACAGCCAGCGGTGCACCTGTACTTCTGGGAAATGGTTCCTTTTCAATCACTTAAACAGAGACATTTACGTAGGTGCAGCCAATATTTTCCTTCGAAGCCATAACCAACCGTAGTGGTACGGCTAATCCTTTTGAATCTTTATATGCAACACGCATGCGATGTGCGCAGCCCGAGTAACGCTGCCTTCCTGTTGAGGCCTTTTTGGAGGATGAGGGCGAAGAAGTGGCGAGCAAACGCGTGAACGAAAACCGAAGCAGGGTACCTGTTGGTGACAACTCCCGGACTTCCAAATTAAAAAAAAGATGCTTCAGTGTCAGGCGACACTGCGTTTTACACAAGCGTAAAACTCAGAGGCTGAAAACAGAAGTAGCAAAGTGTGTCATCCTTGTGACACAGCGAACATTTCTAAAATTCTCTGTATCCACTGTTCTCTTAGGATGGAGTGTCCCATTTATGCCACTAAACCTAAACCGAAGGGTTTTCCTTCCAATTTAAACCATGTCAGATAAACTTGGAGCCACGCTTCTGTGTCAATCGCACAGTCTGATTCCCTGCTACGTTCCAGTAATACATTTCTTTCCCATGGTGTTCTGTAAACCATACAAGCTTAGAAACACACTTTTTTTGAAGTTGTGCAAAAAAAGTCTGAAAAGATGAACCCAATTTTCCAGTTACTTATTCCACAAAAGTGCTGTTGTGCAACATAGTGATGAGCAAAACCAGAACTGGGCCTCAAGTGAGGGATTTTCCTTGGTATACAGCAGGAAATGCTGGACTTCTTGAGCAGAGTCTTGGCTTTGAGAGGCTGCGACTGCTGCCCGTCAGCAAGTCAGGGGCGGAAATATCCATTCAGTTACAACAGAGGCCTAATTTTTCGCTCGAGTCGGAGATGCGTGCCAATCTCTAGCCTTATCTTTGAGATCTGGTAACGCATACCCAACTCTGTCATGCTTTTCCTAGGATAGAAAACTCACAACGAAGGTACGGTTTGTTCGTACTCTGAATTTTGTGTGGCGTATGATACGTACCTAGCGGTTTACGTGTTTTGACTATTTAGGGAATTACTAATTACTAAAGATACGGTATATAAAACACGGAATTGAAAGGGAAGCATTTTTATAGTTTATTTTTGAACTTACGTTCGTTCAAGATAGTTACGCTTGCAAAGACGTTAATTAAGAAAACCTCCCAGTCTGTCAGCATGATTGGTGTAACGCATAGATCGGCAGGGACCAGAGCTAGGCCACTTCGGTGTCCACCCAGGACACGTCCGCCCAGGACACGTCCGCCCAGGGCACGTCCACCCAGCTGCCAGCTGCACCTTTGCGGTAGTATTTTACTGTTAGCTTTTGCTTTAAAAATCTCTGAGTGGAAAAGGTCCCGACCACCTTAAAACAGCCTTTTTTGGCGTGACAAGTCTTCCCGATGTTCCACCAGGTGGCACTCGCCTATAAATTTTTTTTCTCGCAGGGTGTCCCGGGGTTCCTCTCCCAGGTTTCAAACCGTGCTCTGGCGGAAAGGCTTACGTTTTCGTACCGTTCTCCTAAACAGACCCGTGATGAAGACGACGGTTTTCCTGCCCTTTGTAGAACGTCCAAGAACGTGTTTTCGCAAAGGGCTCGGCAGTTGCCTCGCTTTTCCCCTACCTGCGCGGTGCGCTGCTGTGAACAGGCAGGCAAGGCAGGCAGGGCAGGCAGGCAGGGCAGGCAGGGCAGGCAGGCATGCAGGGCAGGCAGGCAAGGCAGGCA